GAAATCGAGCTCACGTGTCATACTTCAAGCTAGATCACTTTATGATGCGTATGTAAACCCTCGATAATCCGCGTTATTGGTTGATTATAAACTAAATTATTCAATGCGATACTTTACTGCAGCGGAAAATTGTTGTTCGGTATAAATTTTGCAAGGATTCAATACAGCTAGCGTATATTCAACTATAAATTGGAAAATATAACTCGATGTAGTTCATAGAAGGCGTTTGATTAAATTTTCCTTCGACACAGCAGTTGAATTATTATTCAATCAATGTTTATTTACCCAACTATCCGAAAAACAAATGGTTTAACCGACACATTTATTCGCATTAGTTTATTTCAAATGCTATCAACGTCGAGTCGGACGAGTCGTTACGCGAAGTACTATCATCGATGTTTGTGCTTCGAAACGAAGTTAAAAGAAAAGTAACGACTCCGAGACAGTTATTTTTTATCGAGTAGCTGTGTATACTATATACTGCTGTAGTGGCGCAGTAATCCAGCAAAAAGTCATAACCAGTTGTGCGTATAGACAAACACAATAAGGCGACGACGTGGACGTGCAGCGCGCAAAAGAGACTCTATACTAGGCACGTGAGAGCACCTGCGCATATATGTGAACGTGTGAAAATGCGAAAAGAAGCGACGCGCGAGTTCGCACTGCTGCGAGCTGCGAGCTGTGTTTATACTGGCATAATCATCGTTTTTATTTTTACATATAAGTACACGCGCGCGTGTATCGACTCGCTAAATGGTATCTCGCTCAATCGCCATCGAAGGTGAGAAAATTTATGAAAAATTCACGCCAGTAGGAGGAGACGTTTCATCAATTTGTAGACCTTCGAAGAGATCTGTACTGGAATTTTAATTGAAAATTAAAATTCTGCAAACGTCATTAAACGAGCGTTTGGAAAGTGCTCTCTCGCGCGAGCGAGTCAAGTTCTTAATTCAAGCTCTCTTTCTCTCTCTCTCTCTCTCTCTCTCTCTCTCCCGCAGCTCCGAAAGAGAGAGAGAGACGAGAATATAATTGCACACCCTCTCGAACAAACAACAAACGCGCTAAGCATTTATCAAAGATACTAATTCCAACCTAATAGGCTTATGTGCTTTGATCACGCCTCTCTCTTTCTCTCTCTCTCTCTCTCTCTCTCTCTCTCTCTCTCTCTCTCTCTCTCTCTATACGCACACGCGAGCGCGCGAATTATTATAAATAGTCCCTTGCCTGCGCGCATAAAGGAGTGGTTTCCGCCTGTTATTATTGCACTTACACTTGCTCGATTTGTCATAAATTTTCCTTCCTTATATGCCCCCGTGGACGAAGAGAACGAGAAAGAGATTCAAAGTCTATAAATAATCGACAGTGCGCATGCAGTACATATATACCAGCACAGCTCACTCGCTAGTGGAGGGAAAGTGCCTCATTGGGGCGGTGCCGTCGACGATCTCGTCCCATTGTTGAGAATTATTTTTTCTTCGATACAGTTGTTGCATAAAGGCGCTTATTATGTATTATGTCGCGCCAAGCGCAGCACCGGGATCCTTGTCGTTGTGCTCTCTGCTCGAGCGATAAGCCATCGAGGAAGTGGAGTTCGTATTATATATGGCCGATTCTCTGTGAAATCGAATGGCCAAAAAATTTTTTTTTCTGCAAATATGAAAAACTTGCTGTTCCCGATGTCAGAAATGTCCCCAAATTTTATTAGAATTTTTGGGACCATCTATCACTCTTTTTCAGGGGCCCGAAGTTGGCCATTTTAGGGTTTTTTTGAAATTCATGAAAAATCACAAATATTAAAATAATTCCTGGATTAAAGTAGAATGATTCAAAAGTAAAAGTGCCCAGCAACTTTTTTGTTGGAAATTGTCCAAATTTTCAGAAAAAAAATATGCCAAAGTGATTGGAACAATCTAGGTAAATGTAAAGCAAAAAAACTGCAAAAAAAACATAAAACAAGAAATCTACTCGAGTTCGAACCGGACTTTCATTTCCTAAACTATGTAAAAAGCTTCCCAAAGATGTCAACTACTGCCTGATAAAGTTTTGTAATGGGTCTTAAAGTTTAACTCAATGTAGACAATAATGTATGGCGAAAAACGTGCAAAAAAGGACTGAAAATGGCTGTTTTTGGTGATTTTAGGCATTTTAGGCCCATTTTTGACCTTTTTTGCACGTTTTTCACCACACATTGTTGTCTACATTGAGTTAAACTTTAAGACCCATTACAAAACTTTATCAGGCAGTAGTTGACATCTTTGGGAAGCTTTTTACATAGTTTAGGAAATGAAAGTCCGGTTCGAACTCGAGTAGATTTCTTGTTTTATGTTTTTTTTGCAGTTTTTTTGCTTTACATTTACCTAGATTGTTCCAATCACTTTGGCATATTTTTTTTCTGAAAATTTGGACAATTTCCAACAAAAAAGTTGCTGGGCACTTTTACTTTTGAATCATTCTACTTTAATCCAGGAATTATTTTAATATTTGTGATTTTTCATGAATTTCAAAAAAACCCTAAAATGGCCAACTTCGGGACTCTGAAAAAGAGTGATAGATGGTCCCAAAAATTCTAATAAAATTTGGGGACATTTCTGACATCGGGAACAGCAAGTTTTTCATATTTGCAGAAAAAAAAATTTTTTGGCCATTCGATTTCACAGAGAATCGGCCATATATAAGACGCAAGCGCGGCGCGCGCGTCAAATTTTATGTCTCGATCGACTAGACGTAAAAGTCGCAATATTTTTCCCCTAAATGCGGTGGCGGCGGCGCGGCTTTATAACGCCCGCGCGCGCTCGTGGAGTGGCTCATTTTTTCCGTTCCATGCATCGAAATTCTATATTCTAAGACATAATAAGCACCCAAGTGCCGAATTAACCTAGAATACGAGGAAAATCTCCAAGTGCAGTTAAGATATGCGTAGTATATCGGCGCACGCGTGGTGATTTTAACACTTTCCAACGGTATTAAGCATAATTCCGACGACTACCGCGCGAGCTCTCGTATTCGATTTCCAATTTATACGATTTCATTTTATTTCCTCGCTGCTGCTGCTTTTTTTCTTTCTTTCTTCTTCTTCTGCTCTTACTCCCCCTCTTATCAATCGCAGCAACCCAGTTTTTTACTGGCGAGTGTAATTATTCTATACATGTAAGAGACCATCGATTGCACCGTGTGTATGTGTGAGCGTGTGTGTGTCGCGCACACGACGTCCGGAATAGTGTATATTATACGAGTGTAAAGGGCCAAGCCGTATATACACACATGCCCGATAACCGCAACCTTTCTCATACATTTTTTTTGTGCTCACAATACGTATACGGTACACTCTTGGTTTTGTCCCTCTGCCTGATTTTTTTCTCCATTTTATTTTCATTTTGTTGCTGCAACGAAAGGAAAAAGAAAAAAACCGTCGATATATGTACGTCGAGAAATGCGGTTATATAGATGCAACCTGGCCTGCAAACAAAACACACGCGTTCGACGGTAGAGGTATTCGGTAAACAAGGGAGGATCGAAAATAAAAATAAAATAAAACGTTTTTTACGAAAGAGAAAGACAGAGGCCGAGGGAGAATCCTAACGAAATGTTAAGTCGATTAAACCGCCCCACGAGGCAAAAGATCGAATGCGCCAGGGCGCGAAAGTGCCACCAGATAAGAGATAACAATAATTGAGCTACTGCTGCTACTCGCCTTTTCGTCTCTCTCTCTCTTTTTCTCTCTCTTTCTCGAGAGAGCAGCTGCTTACGTCAGCGGTAATGACATTGTTCCGTTACACAGGACGAGCTGTATATATACAGGACGGCGGCAGCAGGCCTTCATCGAGCTGTGTTTGAACTGTACTTTGGCCCTTTTATACTCGAAATTTATTGCGATCTTTTTTTTTCTGAACTGACGCACCGAAACGAATTAAAATAAAAAAAACTACGACGAACGATATTAGAGGAAGTATTAGATGAACTGACGAAAAAAATCAATCATCCTAAACGTTACGACCGAGTCAGTTCATTTGCGAATTTCTTTTCTTTTTTTTTTCATCATAGAAGTGTACGTTTCGTATTTCTGATGAATAGTCTCTAGAACAGCACCTGCCTCGTATGCAGCGGTGCATGCGCTATACTACGTGCGTCAGACAAACTCAAACTCGTAATTTAACAGCTATGGCAATTTGTCGTCACGTTGGCCGTATTTTCTCTCGTAGTTCTTTTCATTTATTAGTCGTCTATGTCCGCTGTATGCTCGTTTAAATTCGTTGACAAGCGGGGGAAAAAACAAAAAAACAAATAAAGAATAAAAGCGAAACAAGCGACATAAATTACTCGCATTTTTTCATATTTACGTCACGGATAATATTTAGTAAAACTCAAGAATTTACCACTGCTAGTTCTGTGCACGTTATTTTCTGTGAATGCATATTATATAGAGCATAGAGTCCGACCATGTGAGCAAATTATTTCGAAAATAAAAATTAATTTCCCCAGTATTCGTTTCGGTTAACGTGTTTTGTTGAATAAAATTTCGTTATCGCAAACATTTATGCGTTTCAAAATATCAGGACGAAGTATCAAAAATCGAACGAATAAAAAAAGGCTTGAATATGAATATTTTTGATTGCAAGAACTAACATTTTTTTGTCGAAAATTTTTCATACTTTTGATTGCGACCGGGGCAAAAGCTACAGGTTCTTTCTCGTTGAAGTTTTTCCGTGAATATATTCAACCTATACATGAAAAATTCGAGTGTGTACTATGTACGCATTTTGTATGGAAAGGAGACGGAAAAAAACTCCCGTCTCTGTAAGCTATGAAAATGCTTTTTTCATCAAGCGCACAATATTCAAACACACCAGAGAAGTACACCGAGAGAGAGGCAAGCTTACTCGCAGAGGAGCCTTAAAGTTTCGTATATTACTCACAGCGAGAAAAGCTACTTTGTGAAATTTCACTCTTATAGGATATGTATATATCTTCGTCTTTTGAAGTGACTCTTGCCACGGCTGCTTTACAGTAACTTCATCTTATATCGATCGCTGCAAAAGGGATCATTTTACGGGTACTTTTTTTAATTTTTTTTCTCTTCAAAAGCCAATGTGCAATTAATAATTCAGAAATAATGTTCCAGTTCAGAGGATTTTAAAAGCTAAGTGGATTGTGGAAGGTAAAATTTAAAAGGCATTAAGTAGGATTTACAAACGGTACACTTTATTTTTTTCGTCAGTTGTGTTTTATTATTCACACACTATGTGCATTTTGGTGTACACATCAGTTCATCAACATATCGTCATAATCATCATTTACTCATTCACACGCGTAAATTTGGTGGCTGAGAGTTGAGCACTCACATTATACTGCATATATATTTTTTAATGCATTTCGTTGGGCGCTAATTCGATAAATTATGATGCACTGCTGTTATTGATGAAGAAAGGAGAATATTTTATATAAAGATTAAAATTAATGAACAAACGAGTCGGTTACATTTTGATATCGCCGGTGCGTGAAAAGTGTGTGTAAGTGTGCGGGCCACGATCGAAGTGCGCGCTTGGTAATTCGATTGCGGTCCACCTAATTTTTTACACACACGTTGCAGCATGGGCTCATAGAGAATTGTCCGCGTACCAATGTACTATATCTTTGCGTACAAGCGTGCGCATTTTTTCTGCTCTCCAATTTCTCTTTACGTCACTAGTTTTTATTTTTATTTTTTAACATCACGAACACACACATTTATTGAATCGATATTTTTTTACACAATACTTTTATCGAATCAACCTGCTTGTACATTGAGAAAAAGAGAGACGATGATACATTTATTTTCTTAAATAGAGAAAATCCTCTATTAAGCGCTTTCGAATGGTTTTCACTGTGAGTGCGTCAACATATAAATACGTATTACCGTGATTTCGCGCGTTTTGTTTCCTACTTTCCGCATAGGAAATTCGCACGAAAAATTTTTAAGCAACTTCGACAGCTAATAGGTACGTATATGTATCGTTTTCTTGCAATTTTTTAATTACGTAACAATGGACTTTCACTTCTCTATGTATGGGTCTGTAAGTGTGTCTGAGTATGTCTACTATGTACAATCTGAGCCTGTGTCTGTGCAGCTCGAAAGGAACATCTTTCAATAAGAATTGTTTTTTTTTCTCGATTTTTACGGGTAAAGAAAAAAAGTAGTTAAAAATGCATTTGTGCGAAGCTTAATTCAACGACTATTTTTCTTAACAAAATCTACTTAGATACAAAAAGACGTGGGTAATGAATTGGCTTTCATTTGAGTTAGTATCCAGACTTTCCTTCGCGATATAAATCATTGTTTAATTGCAAAAGATCGCCTTTTTCACCAAAGAAGCTGTATTTTATGCACTTTCGTTTATGAAGTTTCACTTTTCGCTATCGTGCGTGAACGTAAATTTTTGTTTTATGCGGCGGTGCTTTATTCTCCAAAAACCGTGCACATAATCGCTTTGCCCGAGATAAAATTTATCAAGCCAGGCCAATTATGAAGAGGACGTTGGCACGAAAAAAAACTTCCTTTTTGGAAAAGCGAAATTTTAAAAAGCAAAACTTGTCGAAATTGAAAAATGTTACCCCGTTTTATAACTTGTGTAAATCTTCCGTCACCCGGGGAAGCAATCGTTAGAAAGTTCACGGATTGATACGTAATCTCTCACGCTTTCGCAAAACCAACGATTGCTCCGATACAGATGGTTATTTTTTTTCAATTCGAGACAGAATTGCGAAATTTTACGGTGAACTTACATATAATACAGTCGAAAGTAGAATTTCTGATCTAATATTTTCGCCAAGCGGAAATCGACATAAGTCTGGGACAACTTTTTGCAACGATATACATCTGACAAATCATAAACGAACGGCAAAAAAGGGCATGACAACGTCTTCGCGCGGTGTATTGTGCTCTTTCTCTCTCCCTCTCTCACGAAAAACATATTTATTCATTTTTCCAGAGGCTGTATATTAGGTGGTGTTTTCCTTGTGGAATATTATTATGCAGGTAAACGCGCGCGCGCAGCAAGCCTATAAGTAGGCGCGTAAATACAGTTTAAAACCACGTAATTCTCCTTTCTCTTTTGCAATAGCCGCTCCGCTCGCGTGTGTGTGTTCAAGCAAGTGTATGCGTTTGTGTGTGCACCTACATAGACGCCAGTTTAGCTTAAAACTCGCATACTTATGTACAGCAACACACGCATCAACACTTACACACAAACAAAAACACAGACAAAAACGAGACAGCCGGGTGCTTTTGAACCGATACAAATCTGCGCACATATACACACGTCAATGGCGTATTCGAACGACGGGTCGAGATAGATGTGGTATCATATACACATTTATATGCACCTTTCTCCTTCGCGAGCACGAGTCATTTTGCCCGAATTCCCGCGCGTACTGTGTATGTGTGTGGTGTTTCGTGTTTCGCGCGAATGTTCCTATCGCAAAACGATAGTCAATTGGAAATCGGTCGACAAAAGTAATAACGTGGTCGATCAATCCGAACCCGATACGTATACCACACTGCAACTGGTGCATTTCTGTGTATGTGTGTGTGTCTATGTATGTGTGTGTGTGTGTCTATGTACAATTGTCGGTATCAATTACGACGAATCGAAAAACTAATCGTGACCGCATGTAACCAGCTACACGATGAATGTAGCAGCGAAGTTGATTACTATTATATGTACCCGATAAACGTGTAGCTGGTGGCGGGTTTTAAAATGAAAAGTTGCACGGTGGAAAAATGAAAAATTACACCGAGCTTGACTGGTGCACAGAAAGAGGAAGATCGGAAGAGAAAGTCGCGAAACGACGACGAAACCCGCAGCGAGAAAAAAGCTGCGGTGCCTGCACTGTTGCCAATGAACAGTTTTACGAATCAGTTCGTGCGGAGCGATAAAAAACAGATTAAGATATTAATTGCGGTGATTTGTGCGCGTTTCGACGCTTCAACTTCGTAGCGCCAATGATTCATGTTATTTCGTCGCGAGTCCAGATGCTAAATCACCCGACACATCCCCACGTACTTATATACTCAAGTTAACTTACACTTCCTTAGTAGATATATACATGTTTGATATTTTATATATTACTATATATGCATAATTAGCGGGGTACATATAGATAAAGCCACGAACCGGCCGTGCGCGTTATCCTCGCTCATAGCATAGTCACACGCACATGTTTTTTTTTTTTACATTATTGACATTGTTTTATCGACGATAAGACCAGACGCACAAACTTACTTTGTATATTTAACTCGTTTGTTCCTTATTTTTTGTTTGTTTTCAACGAAAAGGAAGAAAAAACAGATATCAATGCTCAACTCAAACTCTCAGCCCGTTTAAGTTTTAATCTCTCTCGAAAATTTATCTATATCATACAAATAAATAAGAGAGCAGAGAGAATTGAATTACGATCACTTAACTCCTCTTGGGTCATATAATTATAATTTAATGCTTTTGCTACTCTTTGTTACTTCATCTGCGACGATGAATTTTCCTCGCGCGCTGAAGAAAACATCGTGGTTACGTTTTGTTTATTTTTTTTTCACGCTTTTTTTAGTCACGCGAGAATGAGCGACATCGGTTCGTCGTTAAACAAATTCGAAATGTTTTTTTTTTAACGTTATGCAGGATCACAAATGTTGTTCATTTTTCGAAAAAATTGTTTTACTCTTACGACATTTCGTTATTATTATTAACGACGAACCGAACCGCGATGTGCATGACTTGGCCAAATACGCGTTTTAGTGGCATTTTTTTCCAACTCTCTTATATTAAACATGATATTAAACATGATATAATATCTGCAATGATGTATATTTTCAGACCGACACATTCCGCATATTATTTCAACTCGAACGCCGCTCTGAACCTATTTCTCTCTTTTTTTTTCTTTATTTCGTTTATTTCCACTGAGTTGAATATTATAAGCGAGATACAATTGATCACACAGCGCTCGGAGCAACGAAAAAATTTCTTCGCTTTATTATTTTTTTTTATCCTCCCGTCGCCTCCTCTTTTTATCATCGAATTATTTTGTAAATTTTTCTTTCGTAATTTTCTTACAAATATGCGACATACGGGCAATATCGTACATCGCTCGGAAGTATTTTTTTTTTTTTCTGAAAAAATAGAACAACGTACAATACTCTCGTATACATAATTTACAACTCAATCGATAATTCTTATGCCGAGAATTTCTCGTTGCTCCGTTTGCACTTTTTATTAAAAACAAAAAAAAATACGAATTAATCAAATACTAGGTTTTTTAATCAACCAACACAAGTGTGCACGCGGGGGCTTTTCTACAAATAATTACAATCAACCTTGGTCCTTACAGTTTGCAAATTTTTTCACTGCAGCACTCAAAAGTACACATACACACACGCACACACATAGCAACTCGTGGGTAAATAATACCAAAAAAGACGATTTTGCAGCTTTCTTCGCGCACAATGGCGCTTGTTTTTTATGAGCGTGTGTGTGTGTGTGTGTGTGTGTGTGTTTATGTGCGATTCGTCAGCACAAGTGTTGGTTCATATTCGTGTATGTATATATACAGAACATGTACTTCACGGTGTATGTATACATACACGATAGAGGATACGTATATATATCTATGTATATATATATTGTATATGTATGCACTCAAACGAGTGACTTGAATTTCTATACAGCACTCGTTCCCATTCGACGAGCATACACAAGTCTCGCGCGCGCGCGGAGTTTCCTCTCGCTTTCTCCTGCGCTTTCTCCCGCGCTCGCGCGCGAACTCCGCAATACAAAAGCAGCAGCGTGCACACACTCACACACACACTCACACTCGCACACGCACACACACACACACACACACACACACACACACACACACACACACACACACACACACACACATACATTCACAATTTCGCACGCGCACATTTTTCCGTGATAAAACAGCAATATACACAAGTTAAGGAAAAGTACACGGTGCTATGTAGTAGATAATAGTAGTAGTAGTAGTAGTAGTAGTAGCCCAGATGCGTCGTCGTCTCATTGTACATTTATATTTATAATATAAGTATGTGATTTAGGGAGCAAACAGTTGTTCAACAACAATAACAATCACAACATGTTGCAAATCCGCTGCTGGGCTCGTCGTCGGCGAGCTCCATCACTAGTACTCGACGCTTAACACGATGCTGAGGAGGAGGACGACGATGATGCAGCTCGCTCATCATCCATCATCATTCCTCGGCTTGCAGCAGCGTGCGAAAGTCCTGCTGCAGCTTCGACTCGTGGTAACTCCAGATATCGCTGAAATCCTCGGACTCGTTGTTGTCGTTGGGAAAGGTGAATGAGTCTCTTGTGTTATCGTCACTGCCGCTTTCGATGCCCGACGACGAGTAGGCAGGCGGCGACGACGAGACCGGCGGCGACGACGAGTAGAACTTGATCTCGAGGTCGCGATGGCCATTGGGCGAGGTGACGATCTCCGTCGAGACCTCGAGCAGGCCCAAGCCCGAGTCGTTGGACGCCGTCGACGCTGCGTTAGAGGCAGGTGATGAGGGAGTGGATGCATCGCCGCGCCACGAACCCTTGAGCGCCGAGTCACCAGCTGGGCCACGATCTCCGATCACGCCGACGTCGCGATTGGGCGTCGTTGCTACTTCGTCACTGAAGTAACTGCTGGGGTCGCTCCAGCTTCTTCGCAGGACAGCACCCCCGTTGTTGCTGTTGCTGCTACGTTGGACAATGGTATTATTATCCAGAGCAGCGACAGTCGTAGCGTCGACGTAAAACTCGTGCTCTTGGCAGACGAACGGCTTCGACAGGTGGTAGACCGGCGCTTGTTGTTGATGGATAGGTTGCTGATGGACGACCGCCTCGTAACGCACCGGCGACGTCGCGGACGATTGATGGTGTTGCGACTGCTGGTGTTGCTGATGATGAGCAATGTACCTGGTATTAGGGTAGGCTGTTTGTTGCTGTTGTTGTTGTTGTTGTTGTTGTTGTTGTTGTTGTTGTTGTTGTTGTTGTTGTTGCTGCTGCTGCTGCTGTTGTTGCTCGTCCCACAGCAGAGCCACGGGTTCACAATAGCGACACTGACACACTAATTCGTCGACGGTGCCGTTATTGCCACCGTCGTCGTACACTAGATTCGAGGTGGTTTCTCGCAGGTAACAGGGTGCAGCGCTCGCACTGTGGCGCAAGTAGTGGGCCTTGGCCGCACGACACATGGTCACCGGTAGCACAATATTACGATTATCGTCTAACACTTTCACCTGCACTTGTCGATGTGCAAATCGGCTTTGCTGCTGCTGCTGCTGCTGCTGTTGCCTCGTATCGACGATTTCTTGCTGTGCTTGTAGAGGAGTATTCGCACTGATCAAGTACGTACGCACGTAATTATCTCTGGCACTTTGCTGCTGCTGTTGCTGTTGTTGTTGCTGCTGCTGCTGCTGCTGCATGCGTGTGGACAGGACCCGGTGATGGCCTTTGTAATAGCCACCACTGTCGCTATTGTGATACCTCGCGTCGACGTAATTGCCTCCCGGGTAAGACTGCTTCAACTGTTGCGGCTGCTGCTGCTGGTGCATCGGCATCTGTTCCGGAACCGAGCTCAGCATGACCGATTGATGCTGCTGCTGTTGTTGTTGTTGTTGTTGCTGTTGTTGATCATCCACGCCTTTGATACACTCGCCATTGGCATGCATCACAGCTGGTTTCCGATCTTTCTTTCTGCGTTTACGGGGCTTTATTATTCGCGGTAAGCTGTTCTCGGAATTGTTCGAGCCCGAACTCTCGTCGCTGGCGATGCTCAGAGAGTCGATGCTTGTCCCGTTCGGAGCGTCTTTGGCATCAACGGGTTTCTGTTGTTGTTGTTGTTGCTGTTGTTGTTGAACTTGGTTTTTCACTCTTTGATCTTGCGAATTTATATGGTTTTTATTGTTACTATTAAACCTAGGCGGACAGCGTACGACGTTGTTGCTACACTTGTTGTTGACAGCTTTGTTGTTTAGCTGTCTGTTGTTATTGCCAGGATTACGTCCCGACAGGATAAGCGGAGAGCCTTGTGTATGCACAGCTAGTCTCGACAGAGGTATTCTGTTCTGCATTTGTTGCTGCTGCTGCTGTTGTTGTTGTTGTGGTTGTTGTTGTTGCTGTTGTAATTGTCGATCTACAATTTGATTTGGCGTTCGCTGCTGTTGCTGATTCCTCTGGGGAGTCGTATTGACAGAAACGAGCGGCGTCACGCCTACCCAATTGCCGACCGCACCGAAAGTTTCAGCTCTGTACCCCGTTTGTTTGACCCGAGCTTGCTGCTCCTGCTGCTGTTGCAATTGTTGCTGCTGCTGCTGCTGCTGCTGCTGCTGTTTACGGCAAGCCAATGCTGGTTGCTGTTTCAGGACTTGCTGCTGCTGCCTCGATGAGTGATTAGTCGCTGCGGTGGCATTAGCAACGGCCGATATCAGACAGCTGCCGATGTAGCGCTCGACTTCGATCGTTCCCTGCGACGCCGGGCTCATTGCAATGACTTTCGGCTGTTCTAGAATAATTATAACTAGAACTTCCGCACTACTCTCCGCTAGTTTTCTTCAACTTTTGCAGCTAGCTTTTGCCAACCGACTTCAATAGCCCATTTCACGAACACTCACTGTTATGTCGCACTCGCACAGACACTGTCAATCTGCAAGGGTGCAACTTTTTTCTTATTATCGCGACGATGATTCGAAGCACACTCACGCACACAACACAGAGGAGAGGGTCGAACGTGACGCAGGGAGTGGAGGAGCTTGCAAAGAGCTGTAAGATTCTCACACAGACACGCACTGACGTCGCGCGATGGGTGGAAGCTCTTTTTGAACTATGGTAGGCGAAGAACTTAGACCCGCATCGTGGTTATATTTTTATAATATTACTATCGTATGGCGCGTCTGGTTTATCTTGCCTTTTTTTTATTATATATAATAATCTATAACTATATATAACGGTGCGCACGAATCGACCAGACGTGCCAGCGGCCGGAACGACACTGAGAGTCGGCTGGTGTGCCGGGCTCGCTCGCTGCTTGTCTGCCTGCGCTGCTATACACCTCTACCTACTACTACTACTACTACTACCACCAGCTTTTCCCACCACCACCAGCCGTTGCCGCTCGTGACTGCGGCGGGTGCGGGAGAAGGACGGCGTGAGCGAGAGATGGCAAAGTCGCTGCTGCTGCTGCTATGCTACTATGCTATATACGTTCGCGCACGCTCTCTTTGGCGCGAGGGCATTGCTGCTGCTGCTATATATGTTATAAAAGCTAGAGAGAGAACAGCACATCCATATTCCCCTACTCCGTGGCATTTTATATTTTGCGCTATATATCTGTAAGTGCAGCAGCAAAGAGACCCGATGTGCATGTGTGTAGTTATATACATGCACGTATCGCGCGTCTGCTTCCTACTCCAGATACGGTGCAGCGCGCGCGAGAGGGACCAAGAGAGACGCTTTCCTTCCGCTCAAGTGCAGACTTTCGATATTTATCTCTATCTCTCCCTCTAGCTCTATCTTTCTCTTTTTGAGGATAATATATACACGAGAGAGGCGACGGCGGCTAAACCGACGATGACGATGATAATGATGCATTTGTGTTCGTAAAGCAGCAGACAATTACAAGGCGCAGCTAAACTGAAGGCATTTTAAATTTGAGTGGGTGGAATTCGACCGACCGACACTGTAGCAAGAGCAGCGCGCGGGTGTCTCCGTGGTATATAAGGCAATTAATGGGGGTAATATCGGCAATGAAACTTTCACAAAGGCCTGCTGCGGTTTGGGAGGACGATTAAAGCTTATACGAGGCCAAAGCCCCTGATTTCGCCACTGTAATTGTGTCTTAAAAAGTTCGCTACGCGAAACGAAAGAGGTTGAATTCAGATGCACGCGCTCATTTTTAAAAGCAAAGGTAGTACCGATTAATTCAACAAATCTATATTTCCGTCATGTGTCCAAGGAAATAGATCCTTGAATAACTCCAAGTATACAAATGCATCGTTTAAACATTTATTATATATCAATTTAAAAACTTGTATCGACCATATCCTTTTTTTCTAAATCACACATCTTTGAATCAACGGTGTGCAAATGGAAAAAATGCGCCCATCATCTTCCAAACGATCCTTCTAGCTGCCTCCTCAGAGAAAGTGACTGCGTACATATAAATGTACATAAGACGATGCAGCAGCAGTAAAGGAAGACGAAGAAGGAGGAGGAGGAGGAGAAGAGGAAGACAACAAGATAGAGGAATAGAACTCATCTACGCCAGCGTACGAATAACATGGCTTAGTGCATCTGGGACACGGCTGAGCGAGAAAGAGAGAGAGAGAGAGAGAGAGAGAGAGAGAGAGAGAGAGAGAGAGAGAGAGAGAGAGACGAAGAGAGCGACAGAGAGAGAGACAGAGAAGTGGGTCGGTCTAGTCATCAATCGCCTAGAGGCTCTCCGTGAGCTCTCTCGATATAATACCGCGTTCACGCGATCGCAGGCGCAGGAGAATCGACCGAGCCTTGATGCAACGGATTTGACTCGATCCTTATAATGCCATGGCTCTCGAAAATGTGTGTCCTTTTGTGTATGTGTGTGCGCTGCTGCGGGGAGCTGTTTTTACATCTATTTATACTTTTATTCTTTTTTCTGTACACGAGTGTAGAGTTGGACGAGAGGTAGCAGCAGCAAACATAATGTATTATATTAGATATTAGACGATGATGGATTTTCATAATTTACCGTTAGAAATAATTTACGGTGAGCTTATCGATCGACGGCTGTATACGCGTGGAGTGTGTTGACTAATGACTTTTACATGCACTAGGCGCGCGCGAGCCAGCGACTTATCAGATTGCACGTTGTCATGGTTATACGCACCCGATACGTTCGCGTACTTCCACCTTGCTTCGTCTCTGGCTCTGTTTTTTTTTCACCCGCGCGCTCCTCTACCCGTGCACGTATGCGCGCGCGCGCGTTGGAATCGAATAGCGAAAAAAGAAAATTTCACTTTCCTGTTTATCGAGCTGGCTGCTCCTGATACACCTGAAGTAAGCAGTTCGAAGTAAATTATTTTAATGGAAGCGCATGGCAAAATAAAGAATAAAAAAAATAATCGACTACCCGAGTCATGAAGTGCAAAAGAGCGCGAACTGCCGTAGTATGTTGTATGTGTTGTATACATAACTGCTCGTTCTAAAAATTCACTTTCTAAAAGCTTACAGAGCGTAATAAGCAAAGTAAGACTTTCGAAAATAATGCTGACACACTTGTTAATCTTTTGCTGCGAAGTGCGATTCCACTTTGGTGCACTTTTTTCGCTCGCGCGCGCGCACACACACACGAGATGAGACGAGACGATCAAGAGTGCGCAAAAACCGCAGTCCAGTTCAGAATCTAGTTTCTATGAATCGAACGAGAATAAAACACAGCTGTCATCCTGAGACAATACATATATTCTGTTTTTGGTTGATCGTCACTATAGAACATAGATCTCCGAATAACATATGTTTACAAAAACACATCGCTCCGTACCGTTGGAATTACGGTCTTTAATATAATAATATAAGCACAAAACGAGACTACACTTATAGTCAACAATGAAAACGGTTAATTAAGAGACGGAGGCATGAGCACGAATTCGATTCGTTGCCTTCAAGTAAATTATTTTTTCTTGCTTTCGCGAGCCATTCAAAATTTTCTGCTGCTCCGTAAAGAGCTGCTACATGTAGAGCAACAATGCCATGTCTCTCGTATAACGCGCGCTCGCCGTGGGCTTTGGTAATCATTGAAGCGCAAAAAGTCGACCGGTACAACAATAAAAGCCATATGTATACTGTCGGTACGGAATTGTCGTCATCGTCGAGAAAAGAAACCCATTCTTTTTTTTATTTTTTTTTATTTATTTTTTTTTTTTTTACTTGCAGCTTGCCATTTTTTTCTTTCTGCACAAATCGGAAATTGCTGCTATATGCGCTGGCCAGGCCGAGGCGAGGCGAGAGCGCGTGCAGAATTCGTTAGATCGCGAAGGATTTTTCTTCATTGTTCATTGCTTTCTCCCATGCGCCCGAGAAAGTGTTAGTCACGATCACTGCAATTTTGCGAGACCCACGCTCGCTTAAGAGTATCCGCGTGTACTTAGCGAATCAAAATCCTGTGCGCCTATAAAAGCCCCACGCGCGCGCGCGTGTGTGTGTGTGTAAGTTCATTTTCGAAAGTCCTGGCTTTGCCAAATAAAGGAAAAGAAGAGAAAAACATTTGCATCGAGTTATACAGTGTTGCGATGCTCGTTTGAAATCGCACGAATGTATTATTTATAGATAGATTTTGAAATTTAGCTCGGCGGCGAGCGAGCGATCGAATCGCTGCTTTCTTTGGCACGCGTATGTATGTAGCAGGTCAAAATTCAACGATCGTATCATAATTAAAGCCAAACACAATTACTCACGCTTCGATTATATAACGCCGCACACCATCGGTATCGATTTTCTCGTTATGAAATTAAGCTCCCCCATGTATTATAAACACGCGCTTATACTACTTGTATAACCCTCGCACATAGGTTTACATAAAATGAAAGAAAAAAAACGAGAAGAAAGAATATTTCATAATAAACCTGTATACGAATGTAAATCGCAGTAGCGGTGTAGCAGCCGTGATTCAACTATATAGAGCTATTTCGTAATGTACTACTACTGGCTGCACGCGGCGTCCGGGAATTAATCAAGCGGTTTCCGATTATAAAATCAAAACACGTATCGGTAACCGATAACGAATCACCAACGACGTCGCGTCGCAGGCAGCAGCGGCAGCGGCGAGCGAGCAGCCACGCGTTGATCGTTTCGATGCGTCAAATTTGCGCGAGCGAGCAGCACAGCACGGCACAAAATGCGTGCGTTGTGCAAAAAACTTTTTCGCGTTAAAAATTACTCAGGCAGGAAACGAATGTAATAACTCTCCGCTACCGCACGCGTAATCTTCGAGAATTGTCAATTTTACACAATGCGTCGTCGTCGCACGCGCGCGGGCGCGCAAGTAAGAGTCGTTATTATATCGCGCGCGACTGCTCGATTCTTTATTTTTACCTAGCCGAAACATTGCAATCGTCGAAACAAATAATAAAAGAGTATAGAAGCGAGTCACCGAGCCGTGCGTATTATTATATATAATAATTTAGTGCAAGAGTTTCGCAAATTCGGCGCGCGCGAGTTTGCTTTATAGTCGACCAAATTATCGTAAATATCGCGATTTTATATTTTTATTTACACGTGCGTAAATTTTGCGGGATATGCGAAACCGCACACACAAGAAAATAGATCGAGGTTACGCGAAATCGGAAATTTTTCACGCGTGTACTCATACATAATATACGAAGAGACAATAACGTCGAAAGAGTCACAGAAAATTTTCCATGTCACGCTGGCAGCGAAAAGCATTCTAACACGTTCACACAGAACGCGGAGAACAAAAATGCGTTATACTATATCCAAAGCTCTCGGCGAGATTAAGTAAATATCTTTGAGGATGATTCGTTTGGCACCGCGTGCGCGACTGCGCGAGAAAGAAAAGCCGCAACGAAGAATTTTCTTATAAAACGCGTCCATCTTATCGTGGCAGCATAATTCAAAATGAGCATCATCGGAATCCTGCGCAAATATAGCGGAAAGATGAACACTATTTGAGCTAGCTAATTTTGCGAGAGAGCCTATTTAGCTCGTTTTATTGCTAATAAAGAGATCAAGCTCGAGTCGGGGCAATGCGTATTAACATAAAATATAACGAGGCCTAACTGCGTGAGAAAAGTTGTTCAACTTAAAATGATAATTAAAAGGGTCTTGTTTGCTCTAGCTCTCGCGCTTATGGCTCATTATTCTCGCGCAGGGGGAGAAAGAACGAATAATATTCAATGCAATTTTAGAAATATCGTGTGTAGGGAAGTTTTATTTGTTTTTATAATTTCTAAGACTTCGAGCCACCCGCACCGTCAGCATCATTGGCAAGAAAGAAGGCATTAGTCTCGTTGCTTATGCGCCCGCGCTTTTATAGCCGTTGCTCGATACGTATATGGCGCACAAACAAAAGAGCAGAGCGCGCAAAATACGTACGCGCGCGTATTCCCTCCTTTTTGTCGTCGCTACGTACTCCCGCGCACACACAAATATCTTACAACCCTCGAAAAAAGCTAAGCACTTATGCACATAGACAGACACATGCGCGCGCGTGTACTAGGCGATTAAATTCCACGACAAGGAGGTCGAACCCTCGACTCCGACTTTATATTGCATACATATTGCGTAGGTGTTCGCGTGTGTATATGCGTCTATGTGTGTGTGTGTGTGTGTGTGTGTGTGTGTGTGTGTGTGTGTGTGTGTGTGTGTGTCTATGTGTATGCGGCAACAGAAACGCACTACTGAACTCGTTTCTTATCCGCGCATACTCTAGTGGGCCTTAATCCGGTCTCTTCTCTCTCTCGCTCGCTCGAGCTCGCTATGTGCGCCTCATTATAAGAAAAAAAGCAGTTCGACGAAACAATGGGGACCTATACGTGCGGCGCAGCCGCGCAATGGCGATAATTACGCGAGCGCGGGCGGCATAGAGAGAGAGAGACAGAGAGGTATAAGAGAACTCACGATTCGTGGGAAGCTCGGAACAGCGCGCGCGGATTTTCTATATATATAATATATATTGTATATTCGCCGAGGGACTTTCATTCGTTATATATTGAGAGATATGGGTGCTGTGCAGAGAAGAGTATAGAAAGAGAAGAAGAAGAGAAAGAGAGAGAAAAATTACCTACTTGTAACCGTGATTATTCTTTTGCCCTCATAATTATGCTTTGATTAATGGCTCACGCGGCGCGCGGAACTATCTATATATACCTATACGATATTAGATCTCTCTCTCTCTCTCGCGTGCTCACAATGTATTTTCCGCATCGAATGCCAGTAATACGTGGTAAGCAGAAACGATTTTATTTATACGCCCGAGCGCAACACTTCAGGCTGGATTTAACTCTATTCGACTTTTCGACACATCCGCGATTCCGCTTCGATTTTTATTTTATTTTATTTTTTTTATTTTTAGTTATATACGAATGAAATGTTCAGTAACTGCTGCTGCGCGTCTTCTTATACGCGGACATGCGCCAAGGCGGTGGTGGTAATCGTCGACGAGCATCGACAACGAACGTCGACCGCGCCCGCAGATACGTACTATAAAATATACATAAAAGCTGGGCATCCATTAGTGGCCGCGCCGCGATTGTCCGTTGCTTTTTGCCTTTATCTATCGCCTATTACCTTGGACGAGACTTTTCGACGACCAAGACGACGATGTGCATTTAAATG